GAAATGAAAAACCGGCGCCATGTGAGACCTCTCTTCGTTCAAAAAGGAATTGACGAATTTACGTTCTGCGACAACATGTGAACTGCCCGAGTCGGTTAATTGAAACTGGTTACTTAGCAACTGCTGTTGAGCCGAAAACATGCGCAGAAGTGATGAATTCAACAAATGCACAACAGTGGAAGTGCGCATTGGACGACGAGTTTCATTCACTGATTAAAAACTGCACATGAGAATTGGTTGATCCACCTGAGGGTCAAAAGGTATAATCGCTGGGTGTTTAAAATCAAAGAGAATACCGATGGTTCGATTGAGCGATATAAATCACGCCTGGTAATTCGTGGATTCACACAACAGTATGGTGTGGATTATGAAGAAACGTTTAGCCCGGTGGCAAAGTTCGCATCGATACGTACAATATTATCGTTAATAGCAATGAATAAAATACAGCTCAAACAATTCGACATCAAAACTGCATTTTTATATGGTGAGTTGAGAGAAGATATTTTTATGAAACAACCGATTGGGTATGATGATGGAAGTGGACGCGTGTGCAAATTGATTAAAAGTTTATACGGTCTGAAACAAGCATCGAGATGTTGGAACGAAAAATTTACATCATTCATTCGCAAGTTTGATTTCAAGCAAAATGAATCAGATTCGTGTCAAAGGCATATTTACGATTATCGCAATATACGTTTATGACGGATTGATGGCAACCAACAATGAAAATGAAATCAATTGTATTATTTCATATTTACAAACAAATTTCGAGTCAAAAGTGATTCAACGTCAAGATAGATCACTGCGCATTCATCAACAAGCCTATGATAAGAAAGTGTTGAGTCGTTTCAATATGACTGAATGTAAGGCTGTTTCAACTCCCATAGACAGAAATCAAAATCTGGGTTAAGAACATAGTGGAGCGGCGAGCAATGAGCATCGAGCAATGCGGCGATTTCAAACGCATATGTTTCAATGGGAAAGTGCATAGTGAAGAGCCAAGCGTGCATACACATTTCTAATTGAAGCTTTGCTCGATGCTAACTCTTCGCTTTGCTCGCCGCTCCACAATGTTTTGACCCTTACTTTGTGAATGATGAGCATAATGCAGCATATCCATATCGTGAAGCGGTTGGAAGTCTGATTTATTTGACGATAGGTACACGGCTAGATATAAGCTAAGCGGTTGGGGTTGACAGCCGATATGTAGAGCGACCAAGCTCAGCACATGTCAACGCTGTGAAGCGCATTTTCAAATACATAAAAGGAACAACGGATTTGGGTATCCTTTACAAAAGTGATGATCAACTAAATCTGATTGGTTATAGCGATGCTGACTATGCGGGAGACAGTGAAACGAGGCGTTGGACGAGTGGTTATGTTTTTCACATTGGTTCAGGTGTTATCAGTTGGGCATCAGTCAGGCAATAATCGATCTGGACATCATCGACCGAATCAGAATACGTGGCAGCATGCCAAGCAATTAAAGAACTGGTGTGGTTGAAGGGTTTGCTTACTGATTTACTGTGTGAATCGAATTTGTTTACAACGTTTTACATGGACAATCAGAGCGCAATCCGGTTGAATAAGAATCCAGCTTTCCATAAGAGGACCAAGCACATTGACGTTCAATACCATTTCATCAGAGAGAAATTCCAGGATGGTCAATTCAAGTTAGAGCATGTGACACCGATGAACAGGTTGCGGACATATTTACGAAAGCTTTGGACAAGAATCGTCATAAATATTTGTGTGACGTACCCCCTTATTCTAGAACCCGAATTTTCGTAATTCGTAGCGTAGCTGCAACCCTTGCGGAAGCATGTGCAGCGTTGCCAGCTATCAGTTGTTTTTCGAAGATAGCTGAATGAGAGAAAACAAAGTGGAAAAGAAATAAAAAACACTCATCATGTGTTTGTTTATTATAAAATTGGTTAATTTTACATATTTTGAGGAAAATTATGGGTTCTGATGCATCTGCAATTATAGCAGCAGAGTAAGAGGGCGCTATGGCAATGGATTCACAAAGGTATGCGGAGCTGTCGGGCATAGTAATCATGGGCGCATCTACATATGTCAGCTTCTGGTTGAATTGTTGAACCACAAGCTAGAACTCCTCCTATGCCTGAAGCTCTGGTTCTCAATCCAGTTAATGCAATGCAAACAGCTTCTTCCAAGCCATTGAAAACATGCACTTGTTAGGTCCACCACCTGTTGCGCTTGCTTCTGCCGCGCTGAATTATAACCCTTACTAAGTAGAATTCTCCTCTCTGTGTTGCGGGGAAGAGGGGCTTCCGCATGTCAAAGGTATACAACATTTCTTGTGCATATCACTCCGGCTACGCCGTCCATAGTATTTTTGCGCAGAACCCACATCGAAATTTGCAAAAAAGTGCATAGTGCAAACCGAGTTTATTAATAAGCTAATGGTAGGAAATTTGAAACATTTATCTTAAATAAAATGTGAATCCTTTGATTGCACGTGTATGTTAAAGTTTTTGGATTCGGGTTATGCGTTTGGTACAACAACCGAAAATCGTTGTACAAATAACTTAACCGGACCCAAGTTTCTCGATAAGGGACAACAAAGATTTTGTTTTGCTCGTTTATATAATGCAGAGGATAAAAATATACGTATATGCGAAAGGCAAATTTATCTGTTTAAATGAACACCACCAATATTTCTTGCAAACACACATCGATTTACATCTTTTATTTCGCCTCCGACACAGAACTGTTTTCGTACAAAATTACGCAAAAAAGCTTACGCGTTCGTTTTTAGGCATTCCATTGTTACGAATTTCGAAAGTTCGAAAGTACGATTCGGATTGCAGCATACTACTTCTACGATTCGTAGCAAAATCCGAATACGAAAGAGTTGCAGAATATAGGGGTGTTAATGGAATTGACATTTTGAATTTCAATTTATACAATAAGTTTTGTTCATTTAATTTGATATTTTGTTTTGTAAACAATGATGTCTTAAACGAAATCATGTTAAGTTGGTAACTCTTTTTGGTATAAATTTTTTCACTCCAAGCTAACTGTTCATACATTCAATACTATTAAAGCGATTATTCCGAAGAAGCGAATACTAAAAGTCAAAGCCTTTTGCGNTGATGTCTTAAACGAAATCATGTTAAGTTGGTAACTCTTTTTGGTATAAAACGTAATTTTTTCACTCCAAGCTAACTGTTCATACATTCAATACTATTAAAGCGATTATTCCGAAGAAGCGAATAATTTTATTTTATTCTGTGTTAAGCTCTGCCGAATTCTGTTGAAAATCTCCTTAATAAGAAAATTTTGGCACTGAACTTATTCTGGTAAAGGATTGAATTTTACTTTTTTCTCGTTATTTTAAAAAAACCCTCAAAAAATTTAAAATAGTTGTAGCGCCAATGTGATCGGTTTAGTTTATTAGAGCATTGAATGAGCTTTAACACTACATCTACGAGGAAAGTTTGAGTGTCTATATTTAATTTACTTAAAATGCAGTTTTTTTCAAATAATCCTTAAAGTAACCGCACTCCTACGTTTATAAATGTCCAGATTATACAACAAAAAAACCTATCGCAAGCGCCAATTCTTCGATAACCTTCCTCTCAGCATGTTCAGGAAATTTATCGTAAGCGCCATTTTACCTTTAGAATGCAATAAATTAATAGCCCTATTAGAAAGCTAGCATTCAATAATGTTATTGTCCTTTTAAATCCAAATAAATTTTTACACTGTGTTCCTGTAAAATTTACCTTTTGTCACTTACGATAAAATCGCAAGTAGGGGTCGATATGTACACTAAGCCTAAAGTGCAAAAATCTATGCCACAGCGGATGGAATCTTAATTAAATTTTCTTGACATTTTGCCAGATTTGTGATATGGTAGATATATTTTTAAAATTCAAAATCATAAATCAGAAAACCTTTGCTACTCTTTTATCAGATAATATAATAGTATTGTGTGATATTTCTCTTGATGTCGTTACACAATTGGAGTGACCTACAGTTTTATGCCGCTTCCGATCGGCAAATGAATTTAATGTGAAGCTGCTTCTTGGCGGAAATTGGCTGCCGAGAGGCCATCGCTGCTCTGACCAGGGGTCAAATCCAGGTCCTGTGGAGTGGGCTTACGCACCTCTAACCACTCAGCCACAGCGGCCGTCAAATATTTTTTATGATAACCCTAACTATACATGTCTACACAAAATTAAAACCTCTAGTTTAGTTTCTCTTTAAAAATCATATGCATAAATAGATATATAGTATAACTCCTCAGTTAAAGAAGGATGTTTTTTGTCTTAATGAGAACTTTATGTGGCATATAAATAAACTTGGCGAAAAGTTGTTTCAAGGATAAAAAGCTCGTTTTATTTGATATTCGAAAAACCAACATACTTATTTACATACATTTGTAATACATATTATGTATAAAATACTACTAAAATAAACGGCACTATGTGGTGTCAACATTAGCCCAAATTTGTTTAAAAATTTACTCCAATTACGTTTGTTTACTTCCTTACTATCTGTTTGAGCTGTTTATTTGTTCGCTATTTGTTTTCATTGCGCGCATTCTTTATGGATGTTTGTATTTATGACCTATCGCATGTGATTGATTCGCTTACTCGTTAATTAAATTACCACATGCTTTGAAATCTCATCGCTTAATTAAAAACTCCACTTTAAAATTCGAGCTCAAGCTTTCAATTTTAACGTTTATATGATTCTCAAAATTCTAACTTCAAAGTAACGTTTCTTAAATAAAGGACCTCGTTTTATGTCATCCATGTGTAGTATATGCCTACATCTGTGCATCTTCAAAATATGTATACCCACACAATCCATTTCTTATCCTTTTGACGCTTGATAACTTCTTGTTTAACCTACTGAGTGTTGATGGTTCATCTAGTGCTATAGCTTCCATTTCTCACTGTATAAATATGGACCTCTATATGACATAATTTCAAAATAATTAACGGCTTTCTTTTCGTTATCTGCAGTTTGGGCGTACATGGAGCTTTGTCAGGGACCTAATCGACCACTTGGGCGCCATACAATGCATATGTACGATTTGACGGGGAACATCTCACACAGCCAAACAATGAAGTTAGTAAATTTGTTTAATAATGTACTCTTCTCTGTGATAAATGCTCCTAATTTGTAATTTATTTTAATCCCCAGCATTGTCCCACTACCAAAGGATCTATCGCCACCGACGGAGCAGGAAACACCGCCCGCACTTCCACCAAAGAACTATAAACAGCAACGCAAGTCGAGCGTCACACCGCCCACCATAATAACAACTCCACCGCCTAGTCCGAAACCCACGCATTTAAGCGCTGGTGCAGATGCTGAGAATGGTCGGCCAGGACGCGTGTTGTCCGCCACCCAAGGCAGTGAAATGATGTCAACCGTTTGCGAAGAACTTGGCGATCTTACCGAGNTTTCTTTTCGTTATCTGCAGTTTGGGCGTACATGGAGCTTTGTCAGGGACCTAATCGACCACTTGGGCGCCATACAATGCATATGTACGATTTGACGGGGAAAATCTCACACAGCCAAACAATGAAGTTAGTAAATTTGTTTAATAATGTACTCTTCTCTGTGATAAATGCTCCTAATTTGTAATTTAATTTAATCCCCAGCATTGTCCCACTACCAAAGGATCTATCGCCACCGACGGAGCAGGAAACACCGCCCGCACTTCCACCAAAGAACTATAAACAGCAACGCAAGTCGAGCGTCACACCGCCCACCATAATAACAACTCCACCGCCTAGTCCGAAACCCACGCATTTAAGCGCTGGTGCAGATGCTGAGAATGGTCGGCCAGGACGCGTGTTGTCCGCCACCCAAGGCAGTGAAATGATGTCAACCGTTTGCGAAGAACTTGGCGATCTTACCGAGGAAGAGCAAGCGTCACTACGCCACTTCCATCAGTTGCCTAATGAAAATTGTAGCAGCCATATGGGTCGAAGGCATTCACCCCTGCGTCGCGCAGATACACATGAGGGTACATCCGGTAGTAGAGCTGAGAGCGCTGGAGAAGATCAATTGTTAGAAAATAATAGCTATGGTGATCATAAGGTTTGGAAGTGTTTTTAATAACAATGGAAAAATATTTTAATATATGTATATTTTTTTACCTGTGGGCAATAGTGTGATGAACTGCAGACGCTGTCGCAAGAGGAGCTGCCGCAAATGCTGGAAGAAATCGATGTTACCAAATATTTGGTGCTGAAGAGAAAAGACGAAGACGGACCCGAAGTGAAAGGCGGCTACGTGGATGCATTGATCGTGCATGCGAGTCGCGTACAAAACGATAATGGTGAGTAGGTATTTTAAACAAAAAGAAATAAATCGCTGGAAAATTACTTAGGGGTGACACCACTATACTGAAATTTTCAAAATATGCATTTATGTGTAATTTTCGAAGATTCAAAATGTTGACAAAAAACGGAAATAACCCCGATTCTAGAAAAACGCATATGGGCATTTCCAAAGTCACGTACGTAATAGAAGCATCAAGGAAAAAAAGTTTTTTTTTTTGCTTCTTTGGACAAGGGGCTCTATATTTAACCAAAGAAAACGATCGAGCCGCATGGTTCTTAAATATACGCAATTGAATCTCAAGTGTCAATTTTCTCTTGACGTTTATTTTATTCAGTACCCGTGCTTATGAAGGCTCAATTTAAGATTTAACAATATTTAATGACCTAGTATGGTGTTACCCCTTAATCTAAAAGACAAATATTGGTTCTGTACATACATATGCACTATTGTAACAGTTATGAGAATTTTTATAAAGGATTAATATACAAGTATTAAAAAATTATTGTATACGCTGTTACAGCTTTCATCGACGCCTTCATCACTACGTTCCGCACCTTTATACAGCCGATCGATGTAATCGAAAAGCTAACGCATCGGTATACGATATTCTTTTGTTTCCAAAATGACCAGAAGCAAAGGGTCGCCAGGGAGACGTTTTCTCTTTTAATGAGAGTAGTGGATGGGCTAACGTAAGAAACGCCAAAATATTTAAAATAATAGATATAATTAATCACTTTTTTTAAATAAATACATTATAGGTGCATGGATCTTACAGATCAACTACTATCGCTCATAGTAGAATTCAATTACCAATTGGTATGCGCCGGACAATTATACTTGGCCAAAACATTGCGTAGCATATTTGTTGAGAAGGTAGGTGCTTATATTCACTTTGCGTATTCGCGTCTAACAATACAATCAATCTCAGGTGACATTGTTCAGAGAACAACGTTTACCACCTCCCAAATCCGATATGCATATCACAGTCACTAATCAACCCAGTCTGCTCGATCTCAAATCAGTAGAAATTGCCGAGCAAATGACATTGTTGGATGCTGATCTATTTCAGAAAATTGAAATACCCGAAGTATTGCTCTTTGCAAAAGAGCAGAGTGAAGAGAAGTCGCCCAATTTAAACAAGTTTACAGAACATTTTAATAATATGTCATTTTGGGCTCGTTCGAAAATTCTTACTTTAAGTGATGCCAAAGAACGCGAAAAGTATGTAATTAAATTCATAAAAATTATGAAGCATTTGCGAAAGATGAATAATTACAATTCATATTTGGCATTACTGTCAGCGCTCGATTCAGCGCCTATTAGAAGGTTAGTAATAAGTTAAAAAAAAAATGTAACTGCCAAACAATTTTTTGCACTTTTCTTTATGCATTTCTTCTTCATCTTTTCCAGATTGGAGTGGCATAAAACTATTACTCAAGATATAAAAGAATATTGTTTACTGATTGACTCCAGTTCTAGTTTTCGTGCGTATCGAACAACGTTGGCTGCAACAAGTCCACCATGCATTCCGTATATGTAAGTTGTATTTGTTGTTGTAGCGGCACTAGTAAGCCCCCGGTAGGTTCGTCCATCAATAGTTGTCTCGACTAGCTCCACCAGCGGCAGGCCTAGGAAACGAGCTTTTTCAACGGGTGGATCAGAGGGAGAGGCTTCTTAGCTGAGTGGGTTTGAGCTGACATGTGAGAGATGGTTGGTGTCCTAGGGTGGTTGTGTTATTTGTAGTAACGGCACTACTAAGCCCGCCTATTTCGGTTCATCCTTCAATCATTGTCGTCATGCTCAACTAACGGTAGGCCCAAAAAGCGGGCTGTTTCAATAGGGTCGGACCAAAAGGAAAGTGGTGTCAGCTGAGTAGGACTGAGCTGGCATGTGAAGAGATGGTTGGTGTCTTACGGGGAGTCTCCACATGACCGGCACTCATTGGGGATATTGGGGTCGAGTCTGGATAGGTAGCTGTTGAGGTGGATCCAGTATCTAGACCGTAATTGAGCCAGGGTAAGCGGATCTCTCTTGGCACTCCGTCACTGATAGAGGTAATGATTGGGCTCCGATCACGGCATTCATAGGCCAGGAGTCGTGATAGGCGATGACCGACTCCCTATGAACGTCGTTGATCGCTTGTCGGTACGTCCTCGGGTCCAGTGGTTGGTCTATGTAAGTCTGGACCGCCTCCTTGTATACCAGAGGTTCCAGAACTTTTTTTTTCTCGTAGACCCCTTTCATAAATTTACTGGTCTCGGTGGACCCCCTGCTGATACATTTCTAAATATTCCCAAAACCCGTAAAAAAATTAAATGTAAAAATTAGATCTAACAATGTAAATTTGCATTGTGGCTGAATTCAAAAACTATTGTAGGTTTTAAAAAATAGAGCTCGGAAATACATCAAAATACTCTCTCGCTCGGAAGAGTTATATTTTTTTAAGAGCACTGCGGGCGCTAGCGTTATATTCACCACAAACTCATCAAATGTTCGGCTCACTCATGACTTTGCACGTGGAGTATATGTAAAATAGTTTACTTTTGTTAATGGCACCTTTTTTATTTTTATCGCTCCGAGTTTTAAAATGAGTCGAAAAATGTTTTTTTCACGTTTTTAATACACAAAACTTAAAACGTCAAAACGGCTTGGCTTTTTACGCCAAACTTTTCAGAAACTGACAATAGAGAAAAGAACGAGTTAAAAAAAAAATCGATGACAAATAACCAAGCAAGCAAGAAGCACAAAAAGTGTTCCACCGTCTCATCTTCTTCAAGGCAAGATGGGCAAATGGACTTGTCATTTACGCCTATCACAATCAGGTGTTTGTGCCACGTGAAGTGACCAGTCAGCATTCCAGCAAGTTGTCTGCAGTGTCGTCTGCTCAGTGAGAGCAAAAAATTAGATAGACCTTGTGAGATTGAAGGCAACATGAGTTTTGTCCACCTGCATCCCCTCGATGCCTCTCAGTCATTTCTGAGCGAAGTATTCACTCAGTTTCTGATGGTGGCTTCGATTGTCGAAGGTGGGAGTGCTAAAACCGGTTGCGGGCCGAGGAATGCCTGGTCTGAGCCAACTCTGGCCAATTGATCAGATGTCTCATAACCAGGTACTCCAGAGTGACCTGGCACCCAGAGTAAAACAACCTCGTTATGTTCACCATCATTTTTTAATCAAGACTTGCATTGACCAGGGTCAGGTTCTTTTTAGTCTGCAGGTGGCCTTTAAGGCTTCCCCATGTATGAAAACACATGGACCCCCATTTACAACTCATGGACCCCCATATTTTGATTACGTCACCGTGGACCCCCGTCGAGTCTTCCGTGGACCCCTGGGGTCCACGTGGACCACTTTGGGAATCACTGTTGTATACGACTAGGTGCCCCCTGACGCGGAGGCTCCTCCTCTAGCAAACGTCTGTTGGGATGTTCACTTCTATGGCACCCTACTAGAAACAGCTCACCTCACTGAAACCTCACGGTGTAGGTGGTGCTCAGGCGACATCAGAAAGCACCCTGTTCTTGTTCGGAGTGCGGCGTTCTTACAAGTCTGTAGCTTCGTCCACTGCATCCAACTAGTCGCCGGCGATCAAACTGATGCTGCATAGTTTAGAACCGGTCGGTTATTTGCCTTGTATGTTGCCAGCAACGTCATGTGGGTATCGCCACATACGGTAGAGCCTGGATAAGTAGTTCTTTAGACGGCTACAATATCCGGACCGTAATTACGTCATAAAGGCGTAGGTCTCAAAATGGTGTTACGCTTTTGCTCCCAGATAAATATAAATTTCGTTCCTGCGTTTTATGAAAGAAAATGCTCAACACCTTGGATAAAGAAAACTCAAAATAATTAAGGGTAATTTTAAGCGTCTTAAAACTTACACCTTACTATGCAAAACTTTCTGAAGGCGCTGGCCCAAAGCAGGCTTGCTTTGCAGGCCTTGCTTACTTTAATTTGCTTTGATATACTTCAAAAACCCCTTTGGCCAAATGGCAGCTTGGAACGCTGTCAAAGCAATCAGCTGTGTAGTTAAAAAGTCAAGGTCTGTTCCAGGGATTGGCTTTGGTTGATCGTCAACTGTTCATACTCATTCAATACCGCTGCTTTGTATGACTGAGCAGCGGCGTTGGCTTAGTAGTATCGATACCTAAACGAAATTAGAGGATGACTGAACACGAGCGCATTGCGTGCTGTCTTGCAAATACAGCCACCACAAGTGAACGATGCTTATAACTGCTCATACTGATATTGACTTCGGCAAATCTGTACTCTGAATGATCGTGCACGAAACCAGCAAACGTGGCAGTTGAACGGCTCCGAAAACATGAGAGTCATCATTTGTTGCAGAAGTCGTTTGACTTGTTGCTGAAAATCATCTGACTTGTTGCTGAAAGCCATTTGACTTGTTGCTGAAAATCATCTGACTTGTTGCTGAAATGACGACGAATGTGGTAAAGGGTAATTTATCGTCTCGTATGCATGTATGTATGTATTTATAGCGCGTCTACCATTCAATTGCATTGCTCACTGCTGGCTAGTTGTGAGGAATGTGCATACGTACGTATGTGTGTATGTACATATCAATGCTTCATTTCAAACAAGCAATTGTCTTTGAATGTTTTTGAACTACAGTATCATCACTTCGGCAACACGTCAAACGCGCCTTCAGCAACAAACCAAAGGCGGCGGTTTGACTTCTGCAACAAATCAAGTTAGCTAACTGCGGCATCTTGCCTTCGCCAGTCTTTCACATAAGCTCTCATGCTTTCGGCGGTTGCTGGTTTCGTGCACGATCATTCGGGGTACAGATTTGCCGAAGTCAATATCAGTATGAGCTGTTATAAGCATCGTTCACTTGTGGTGGCTGTATTTGCAAGACAGCACGCTTTGCGGTGGTGTTCGTTCATCCTCCGTTTTTAACGTGAGTAGGCTTAAAGTCACAAAAACAGCACCCTTTGCCAATCCCTGGTATGTTCCCTCACACTAAGAATAATTTTTCCACAAAATTCTACAAAATTAAAAAAAAAAGAAATACAAAACAATCTTTTCAGATTTATTTTTAAATTAATGCGAATTAATTTTTGCAATTCAAAGGAATGGTAATAATTATACATACACATATGGGCAAATCTAAAAGACAGGTAACCCTGGTGTTGTTTAGCTTTATTTTCACTGTTGGAAACTATATCAAGCTGGTTGCTTTTGGATATAATTCATTGACGTATACTTGAAGCCTCAAAAAAAATTTGGATCAATTTGCTGCATAACTTTTGAATTATAGGTGTTTAAATAAAAAATAATAATGAAAACAAGTGAATTTTTTATGTAATTTTTAAGATGTGAAAAATTAATTATGTCATAACTTTTGAAGCACACCACATACTTATTTGAAATTTATGTGCAATTAGTACTTATACACATATGTAGTAGGTATGAAATTTGTGCATTAAAAAATAACGAAATGGCAATGTGTTATTCCACATTTCACAATTTTCGGTTTTCGCGTATAGTTTTTGAAGCATTTAAGTTTAAGAACTTTTTAAGTATGTATTGTATACTACAAACAATTACGAATAATTTGATACCTGAGCAAGAGCTGTGCTTTCAGAATAAACCAACTTTTAAAGATAAAATATTCTGCGATCTTGAGCGTAATTTTTATTCCAAAAACACTTTAATTAAAGGCACATTTGGAAAATACGTCGAAACGATCTAAATCTTTCTATAACTACTAGTCCTTATAAAATTACATATACCTGTAAAATGCTTCAAAAAATGTGTGTCTAGAGGTGTGTAAAAACCCTGATTTACTACTTTTAATGATGCTCCTTCTTTTAGTCAGAATATTTCGAGAGTGGTATCAAAGCAACTTTTTTTCGACAAATGTTCTGATAGTTGCTCTTACTTAATTGTAGCCTTCTGAATTCAATGGCGTCCTAAGTTTTAGCCTATTGGCTCCACTTTTCGAGATAGCGGTACTTGAAACTTTGCTTAAATTTTAACTATTTTATAATAAAAGTCCCTGGGTTTTGAAGATATTTTTTAATATTACCTTAACTATTTCATAAAACCTTCGAAATCGGTTCACTAAAACATATAGCTCCCATACAACTGATTGATCAGAGACGTTGTTTTGCGTTATAACTCCTTCAATTAAACAGGTTAAAATTTAGTATAGGTTCAATTTAATATATAGAACGCATACAATTTATTATTCAGATATGAAGTTAGAGTTATTGCGCAAAAACACATATCTGAGTAATCAGTTGTATTGGAGCTATATGTTAATGTTAACCTATTTCGATAATTTTAAGGAATAATTATAATTTAAAACAGGGAGTTATTTATAAAATAGTTAAAATTTAATCAAATTTTCAAGTAGCGTTATCTTAAAAACCGGAGCCAATCTGGTAAAACAGGGCATGCCATTGAATTTAGAACATCCCAATTAAGTGAGTTCAACTTTCAAAATCTTTCCTCAAAGTTTACAACTGGAACAGCGTTATTTCAACCCAGCTTATTCTTTTGTTTTCTACTTCATGTTTATTCCTCGTCTAACTTTTGAAGCACTTGATAAAAATGAATTACACTTCTATTAATCGATTTATTAAGAGAATACGAATAATATGATATATAAAACATAGCTGTGCTCACAAATTTAAAAACTAATTTTTTTTTTTTAAAGAGTACCTATTTTTTAGATTTGCCCATATAAATATATGTACATTTATTAAAAACAACAAACTAAAAAATATCGATTTTTCAAGAGACGACTGACCAGTAGTTTGACATCATAAATATCGCTAGCTTTGTGTGAAAAGCTGCTGAGTCTGCATTTTATGAAACCTCGTATTTTTATATAGGGAGCAAGAGCAATTAAGGATTAAGGTACTTGTTTTATTTTTTCTCGTTTATATTCAATGAAATTCAAATTTTCTAAGTCCAAAGAGACCTCGAATATCCGCAAAGGTCAAAATAATACGAAATCTTTTAACAAAGATCGAACCCTTCTGATTCGTATGGAGTTTTGCTTTGCTTTAAACATGCAAAATGTTGTATTCAAAGTTCTTGTAAAATTTGTAAAATTGGACTTAGCAATTTTTCACTTTAAGCCAGCGACATGTTAAATATAGATATGGAAACATAGAATCATTTGTATTAAACTTTGGATTACATACATTATACATATATTCTTTTTTAATTACGTAAAATTTCTACATAAAAGTGTGCAGCAGTTTGAATTTATTTAGAACGGGNTTGCCGGCTGGATTGAGTCATCCCCAATGTCTTGTATATTACTGTTAATCTCAATAATACTGTCCACAAAGAATTTCACCCCTATTGCGAATGTCGACTGGCAGTAGATAAACGACTATTAAGCGATTATCGATGCTATTGCGAGTGTCGCTTAGTCGCTCAATTAGCGACTGTGAATACTTTTTAATCGCTCATCCTTCTATTGCTGTTTTTTAGTCGTTGGAGTTTGCGTTTATAAAATTTACATAAGAAAGTGGTACTATAATGGATAAAAAGTAAGTCAATTGAACTGGAAGTTGTAAAAAATACATACATACATACAAAATACATACATATGCATGTATGTGTCTGAATTACAGATCAAAAATTATAAGCAACAAAAGGCAACTTGCGCGGTTGGTCGTACTGATGCAGGAGAGTGAGGACATAGGCAAAGGAATTTCCGGAAAGAGTACGGTAGGAAGCTCCGCTTCTATTGGAAAAGATACATATACAATATTTCTTGTGCATATAACTCCGGCTACGCCATCCACAGTGTTTTTGCGCAGAACCAACATCAAAAGTTTATACAAAAAAACTGCATAATTTATTAATTGACTAGTGCTCGGAAATTTGAAATCTTTATTTTAAATTAAAGTTGAATTCTTTCAATACACTTGTTATGTTGTTATGTTAAAGTTTTTAAACTCGGGTCACGCGTTTGGACACAAAAACCCAACATCATTGTACAAAAAACTTAACCGTACCGTATTTCTTAAACTTCCATAAAGTTTATTAATGAGGAAAACAGCTTTTCCTGCAAATCATGTAAAGCCTAAAAACTGTGAAGCATCGGGAACGCAACTTCTATTCATAAAACTCACACATGTACATACACCTTCCAAGTCCAAGGGATCCGACGAATCTCGCAATTCCCTCCTTGCTTTAGCTAACTCTACTAATCTATTAGCTTCCGCATCATCTTCCTCATCACTAAACCATATTTCAACTGTGTCCATTTTTTAAATTTTATAATAAAAGCAATTATTTTAAAAATGATGTAAATAAAACACTCAAGAAACAAATGTAAACAAACAAACAGCTGTTTACAATTCTGTCAACCATTCACAATAGTACAAATTTTTATCGATCAAGTTACACAATAGCAAAATAAAAGATGATCGACTCGATCGACAAATTTCTATTCTACTGCCAGTCGACACTCGCAATAGGGGCCATACCTTTTTGTCAACAGCTTACAAAACTCTTTCAAATAAAACATTTGCCTATTTGAAACTTTGAGGCGCTTAAAGCAAGCGAAGCAAAGCTCCTATTCNTCGACAAATTTCTATTCTACTGCCAGTCGACACTCGCAATAGGGGCCATACCTTTTTGTCAACAGCTTACAAAACTCTTTCAAATAAAACATTTGCCTATTTGAAACTTTGAGGCGCTTAAAGCAAGCGAAGCAAAGCTCCTATTCGGCCACCCCTCATACGTTTTAGTATATTCCAAATGACTTTTGACAGTTCTGAGGGCGAAGCAAGCAAAGCAAGCCTGCATTGGGCCAGTACCTTAAGAAATGTTATTAAAAAATTTAAATTTTGATGGACATTTTTTTAAGTTTGATAAATTTTTGATAATTTTGTGCAAGCTTTGAAACTTTTATTTACATACATATGTGGTTTTTGATATACATATGTAGGTCGGACCAAAGGTACATTGAACAGGTAGTATCAGTAGAGCAGCTGATTTGATTTATTTTCAAATTATTTGGTCTCGGAAATGTCAAATATTTTTAATTTTTTCTCACGAAAATTATAAGTTGTTAAAATCCATTTGCTTGTGAAACCTTTTTCCATACAAAACAAGCGATTGAATAGCAGCTTTTGGAACGTTCGCCCAACTNAGATTTGTATTTTGGAAGTAGGAGAAAGGGGAAGAATGTGATCGCATTTCGCGAAAACGGTAGTAGAATGGTACTACAAAAAGTACGCAAAGTATACAATTAGATGTAAAATGTGTATTATTAATTCTATGCGAATTTGCAATATATTTGGTGTTTTAATTGAAATACTAATCAATACATAAAAATATGCAATTTTGATTTAAGTTATTCGTCATTTCCGGGAACAAATCTAGAATACCGACCGTTCAGCTATGCAAAAACGAAAAATGCAGATCAATAGAACTTTTTATGCTCATTTCAACCATGCCAAAATGATTTGGCGCAAGTAAAAAATGAAGAGGTTCTAGAAGGTTAAAGTTCGGTTTTTAGATATTTTAAATATTAATATCTTATGAACTTTATAACCGATTAAAAAACTAATGACGACACCATAAAGGTAATTAATTTGTTCTTCAGATGATGTACATAATTTATAACTTTTTGTATTTTTAAACCAAAACCACTAAAAAACGAACAAATGTAATTTTTTCATGAAATAACCTTTTTTGAAAAAACTGCATAATTAATGGTAAAGAAATTTATATTATTTAGAAAGTACAAGTTATTATATTTAATTCGATATTACATATTTTACATGATAGTAATAATAAAAAATACAAATAAACCTCTTATATCTTCTTATTTTTTACCTTTGGTATCGTTGAAATCAGCGTAAAAAGTTCTATCAATCGGCATTTTGGTTATTTTATAGCTAAACGGTCGCTATTCTACACTTGTTCTAGAAAAGTACACAAAACGAAGGCGACGCCAACGAATATTTAGTATGAAGAATTCTTGGTTTTAGTACTAATATAACTAAAAACTGTAGAGTGAGCAACATTCTGCACAAGTAAAGGAGCCGATTTTATGTGTGGGAGCGAGAAGACTGTTTTATTACAAAACCTTTCTATTATTGAATCATGGGTCGGCCTTCGTTAGCTGAGAAAACGGCTTTGAATTTTTCCAACACCAATTTGGCAAGAGGTCTCTGCGCTTCTATAAGCCACATGGGCATGTGTATATTTTTTAATCTTAAAAAAAAAAATTGTAAATGCTATAATCACTTTTTTTAAAGGTAGAAAAGGCAAATATCTTAAAAAAGGCAAAAAAGGCAAATATCTTAAAAAACGCAACATCAAATGTGTATATATGGAATCAGGGAAAGCTAAATCGTGGACATTCTTAATCGAATATACTCTATCTCTTTAGCAGAAAAAAAGGCAATTTACATAAAATCCGTTCCCCGGTAATGAGCAAACCTTTAATTATTTAATCCTGGGTCGGACCTTCTTTCAAATGAAATTTATTAAATATAAATAAATAAACTTATCGAGCTCTGACCGCAAAAAAAAACGTAAGCGACTTTTTTCCTGCATTTCTGCTTAAAAATAAAATTTCAAAAAATGTCGTCTACGTTTGTTGGCGGTTAAGGCTCGATATGTCAGTAAATAAATAAATAAAAAAAGTTCTTTGCTGGGAGCGGGAGCTGAGCTCGGAGCCAAATGAAAAACCGGAGTGGAGCTATTGCGGAGCGATGAAAAAACCTTTGCTCCGAAGGCCTGACGTTAGTCTGTTAGGGCCGCGACAAAAAACTCTCTCCTTCGCGAAGTGGCGCTGTTGTTCATTCCGTGTGCAGACTCGGTCCCTCCATTGTGTTCGTGGATGTTCTTGTTCTCGTTGTCCATCCTTGGCTGCCTGGTCTGTTCTTAAGGGTAAAGAAAATAAAACTGAAGAGTGCATCACCTGAAATTGTTTTAAATAAAGCAAAGAATAAAAAGTAATCTAGTGTGTATAAGTAATATTCTTTGAGAATCATCAAACGTTGTTCATCTTAGGCTAGAATCAATATTTAAAAAAATATAATAACTTAATTTCCATTAAAAACATTTACATATAGTATGAGTTTTACTGTATAATTCAAACAATATAATTTCAGTGGACTGGTGTTGCAGGACTTAACGTTTGTTCACGTTGGAAACCCAGACTATTTAAAAGAAGGCGTAGTTAACTTCTCAAAACGTTGGCAGCAATACAATCTTATAGAGAATATGAAACGTTTCAAAAAATGGTTTGTAACGAAAATTTACATTTATTTAGCCAACAAGCTCAATTTGATTCATTAATAAAAACCTTTCTAATTCACAGTGAGTACAATTTTAAGCGGAACGAACGCATTATACGGTTCTTTGATAACTTTGAGTATGAATTGGGAGAGGAAGAGATGTGGCAAATATCAGAAAGCATAAAACCGCGTGGAAGACGACCTGTGCAAGCGTAAAATGTGCGAAATAACTACACATCAATATCCCACATATCCTGACGGAATACTCAATTGAACGTTAGCAAAGAATTTGAGAGGAAACCTGCAAAAGCCAAAAAAAAAACTAAGATTACAACAATATATTCAAGCCTGGAGTATAGCATTTAATAAGATGATAAAAGCAGCAAACGAAAGCAATGCACAGCTATTGAAAAGTAATTAAATATTTCAAAGCACAATTATAGTCCATACTTGCATTCTTAATCAAATAGTGATAATCATCATTCTGCACTCATTTAAAGCGCATAATCCATTGCGAACAAATTGGAAAATTGGAAGTAGTAATGTTTAAAATCATACATATATTAGCGAAGTAAAAAATAGAAACGATTAATGGGTCGATTACGGATAGTAATGCAACTAGAAAGAAAAGTTGTATTACGATTGTCAACTATCGCCAGGTTCTGTAGAGTAATCGATAATAGAAATTTGACAGATCGACAACCGGCAAGTGGTTGTAACAAGCTGTGCTAGTAAAATTAAATTATTAAAATAAAGAGTTTAAAAAAGTCAGCAATAATGCTAAGTTCAGTACAACTATTTGTTTAAAAGGGAAAGAAGTGCATGAACTCGGGCTCAATCAGGCGGCATTTAAAGGATAATTCCAACTTCCGCCAGCTACCGCCTGCACTGAGCAAAAGTTAATGCTTTCAAGATTTTTCTTTTATTATTTTTTGTGTTCACATTTAAAGTATACTTTTCAATTTTCACAGTAATAACAAAAATGTAGTTGCCTGTATAAACACTTTGTAGCAACTGCAGTTGCTAGTTGAGAGTTGCCAGTTGCCATCTGTTATATCGTTTCGGCAACTGGCAACGCAAATGAAGTTCGGTTGCTATCGATAATCGACCCATAAATTAGCAAACAATATATGTATATGTATCAGATCAATAGAAAATCAATCGATGGAGCAACAAGAAACCAAACCAAAATGCACCGACAAAAACAACGAAATTTTACGTATGTATTCATATTTTTGTGCACCGTACCAATTTTATTTATATCTCAACTGCAATGTCCAGTCTACAACAATATGGTGCTCCATAAAACAAGCAATCTAATTAAATTTTTATTCTTATAAAACTACAACAAATCAACGATTAATATGTGAACCGTCGAAACTCTGTATAATGGAGATGTAAAGGCAAGCGCTTAGCGATCCAAAACGAAAGAACTTTAAAAGTTAACTTAGGTTTTATGAAAGTTGTAACTTCTATTTATTTTCTTGAATTGCTGCGTTTATCTTTTATAAGTGTTGTAATTGTGGAATTTGCATTTTTAGCGCAACCAGTGAAATGGGCGTATCTGTCGAGAGCCTTCTAAAGTTGGCTGAGAGACTTTTCGTACTGTTATGGCCTTATTCATAGAAATATAAAATATATTTATTTTTTTACCGCTTTATGAACCGATAGTTCAACTTTATGGCAAGGATATTATGGATGTCCTTATATCTTCGGTTATCCAAGAGTTTATGAAGAGTTATCCCTTGATTTTTGCAGTGTCATGCTGTTGCGATTACCCAGCATCGGGTGCTCTCTGCTGTGCAGCATTTGGGTGGAGGTGCTAATGCGCGTTGAAAAAAAAGCCAGATACACATTTTACAAGACGAAGGGATTACAGGGTGGCGAGGAATAACTGTTACCCAGGATTTTTTTTTAATAAAAGGGTACTTTATAGATTTTTGCCAAAAAAAGTATTTTATTATTAATTTTCCACAGATTTTACTTTAATTTTATTAATTGGTTTTTAAATTTTAGCATTAATTTGGGTTTGCCAGCGGTAAACACTTTGAGAGAAAAGCGCAAGTGGCACCCAAGCCTTCGCCGGTTAATTTATTCCATATCTTCTGTAACTGTAACCATAGACTAATTTCCTCCATTCGGAGTCCTTTATACTCCCCCTTTTGTCCAACATAGGCCTCATACTCAGAAATCAAATAGACTCGGAAATGGTTACTAGGACGGCCATTCATTCGACCAATCCTATACAGTTTTTGTTTTTTTTTTTATACAAAGTCTAAGAAAATATAAACCTGGAAATGACTTACGTANTAGGACGGCCATTCATTCGACCAATCCTATACAGTTTTTGTTTTTTTTTTATACAAAGTCTAAGAAAATATACACCTGGAAATGACTTACGTGCCGCATGTACTTATCACATAAAGTTTACAGTGCTGGCAAATGCAAATATGGATTAAAATTTTAAAACTAATTAATAAAATTTATGTAAAATCTGTTGAAAATTAGCAATAGAATACTTTTTTCGCAAAATCTATAAAGGACCCTTCTATTCATAAAAAAGACGGTGTAACAGTTATTCGTCACCACGCTGTACATTGAACATACAAATACTTTGATACATAAAGATTTCCATTGAACATACATATTTAGCCATGAAAAATGTGGCAAGTTATTTAAAGCCATACTATAGCGAAAGATCTTATTTCAGTAAGCGACTTGTTTTTTTTTTTGAATTTTCATATCTTAAATTCTAAGTTTTTGTTGTATAACGATTTTTCTTATTTGTTATTTAAATTTTTTTATTATTATAATTCTTCTTTCCTACGCGTTATCTTTCTCAAATATTGCCACTTTTTCCATATTCATTTTTTTTTAATAAATTTTTTTTTTGTCTATATACATTTACAATGCTATAACTTCTTACCTTGGGCCTAGAGTACTCCATCCCGTTTTTTTTCTCGCAAAAAAAATATTAATTCTTTACAAAGCTCATGTTGTTTAGTGGTGACAATCTCATTAAGAGTCTTGTATGTGTAAAAAAAATTCAAAATTTCTTTCTCATAGCATTGTATTTATCACAGTGGAAATAAGATGATCAGGCGTTTGCAGGGTGTTGTATGTGTTGCAGTTGTCACTAAAATTGGGTAAAAGTTGCCCTTTAACAGGTCTATTCTGCACGTTACCGAAGATTTTGTAACCGGAAAATTGTATTACCAAAAAATGTTACCAGTTCTTGTCACCGCGATTCTAGGTACGTTGGTAATGCAGTTAAAATATTCAGCAATTCAGCTATGAAGAATTGTGCAAATCGTGGCATTGCATATTTTACGGGGCAATAATTTGTTACCAGCTTATGAGATGGTAACAAAATTTACCGGTTACAAAACCACACAGAATGCGAAAAGGGTTTAAAAATTGACAGGAACTTTATTTACCGGTTACAAACTCTTTATTACCAGCGCAGAATAGACCTGTAATTGTCGAATTCGCGTCAATGACTCTTCCTAGCCATTTTACCGTTTCGACCCGGTCGATTTGGTTACACTTACTGTTAAATCAAAGTTTATTTTGCTCCCTGCAGAAAAATTCATAAATTTGGTTTCGTTGAGGTTGAAATTGAATTTTATGACATTGCAGAGTACGTGGATTTAAGGTTGAGGATTGCGGCTTTTTCAGACTTGATGTGCGAAACTCTCGCGCTATGTTGTCTGGGATTTGTAAGACTTGCGTTTTACTATCATTGAAGCAGTATGGCTTTGCAATGTATACATATATTAAATAGTATTGGTGACAAACAACTTCTTTATGGGAGTAAATTTTTTACTTCCACTGCATGCTGCCCTAACGTAAGTATTCTTGAGGAGACGAGGTTTTTTGTCCAGTTGGTAATTTTCGGATTTATGTTGTATTGCAAAAGCATGTGATGTAGTATTTCAAGGTCGACGCAGTTGTATGCGTCTGATATATTTAGAAAACAAATACAGCCTTTTTCATTGTTGCGTTTCTTGTCTGCTACCAGATGCAAACTTCTGGAGAAAGTTAACCCTAGTATGGCCTTTTTCGATTTGAGTTCCATATTTTCATTTCCTATTTTTAATTCCGATGTTTTGCATTTATATGTCCTACAGATGTGCATAGCTTCCGCTTTTCTTAAGGGTACCGTTGAGCTCATTCAAACTGTCGTTTATTTGCACTGGTGTACCTGAAGAGGGCGCAAAAATATTATCTGCATATATGCCCATATAGTCCACACCGTTTGAGTTTCTGATGAGTTTGATTAGAGTGTTGCAGTAAGCATTGTACAGTATGACCGACAGAGGAGAGCCTTGTGTTAGGCCATTATCTAAATTGAGGGTTTTTGACAGGAAGACGTCTACACGGACTGAGATTCTTCTATGAGACATGAAGGTGTGAACCGTTTTTATTATATGTTAGGGTATTCCCCCAGCCGGCCAGTTCCTTTATAATGACCGATAATATAACCCTATCAAACGCCTTTTCTATATCCTCGGATAGTAATACACTGTGCTTATTCATTTTGAAGTTGTTTTTAATATTCGTTTCTATTGTGTGACACAATGTGTGAAATGGTTTGGTTATTGGCGATAAAATCGCTAGCTTCCAATAATGTGGGTAGATTCCAGTTTCAAGAATTTTGGTATATAAACGGCATAACCGAATTTTCAGCGAAATGTGTGAGTGTTGGATCATGGTGTACGTTATTTTATTAATACCTGGTGTTGTGCCTTTTGAGCTATTTGTCGCTTCATTGAGCTCATCAATTGTTACTTCTCCAAACTTGTAGGATAGGTTGAGGTTCTCAGGGATGGAGTCTATGTTTATAATCCTCTTCCTCCTTATTTATTCATGGTTGAATGATTGGTCTTAATCATTTGAGCTCCATACTTCTGCAAATTTATCTTTTATTATCTGTGGGTGAATTATGCATTGATGTCCTGAAAATATGGAGAGGAAAATTTATATTTGGTTTAGATCGAATTTTTTAAATTTTGGTCCATAATGCTCTTGTTTCAGTTGATGTGTTGAGAGAATTAACAAAATTCTGCCATGTGTCCTTTTTGGCTTGTTTGCACGCTCGCCTATCTTTTGCACATAACTTTTTGCAGTTAATTACATTTTCCTGGTTCCGTTTATTTTTGTAGGTATTCCATGCTGTATTTTTTAATCGGTTCTTAAAATCACTAAGCGCAGTGATCTGCCAATGGTAATTCTAAGAAAGTATATGTCGTATATTCTTAAATCTTCAATTTTTTCGTTTGTGCGACGAATCCACGAGGACAAAGACTTCACCTCTAAAATTTTGTGGGTATTTAAGGACGTTCCCGCCCTTTCCCCATTGTATGTAAGTTTATTTGAGTTTGCTTTGCCCTAATGCCGTATTTGTCATCTTTCTATCACCATCACCTAAAATAATTTTCTCTACCTCTATATGTATCATTTTTGGTGATAAACGGGTTGGAATTTTTTAACATTTTCACATATTTTAATTAGACCCACACTGCAGGACATCTCATTGTATGTTGCTGAAGTGATTGTATTTGGTTCATTAGAGTTGTAATATTTAGCTTCGTACAACTTCTCCGTATGTTGTATAAACAATTTTTGAACCCCTTCCCTCTAATTATGCGTTACTTATTTTTAAGAGACGCAATAGACAGCTCTACGCCTACAATCTGGTTGTACTAATAAAATGCATATACATTATTTAACAATCATACTGCATTTGAAACTTCAAAACTGATTTTAACGTTTACGTTTTGCATGTAAGTATGAATGTATTATGTATGTATATTCAGTGAGATGGTGAAGGTAATGCTGCTAGTAAGTTTAGAAAATTTATTCAGCTATTACAAGAATTAAAAACTCTTCAAACAAAATAAATAGTTGACTTGACGTTTAATTTAAGTTTATATACTTTTTATATGATTTCCAATATGTCAGTAATTTAAGCATACATCTTTTTTCGCACAACCTTCGACCGCAAACACTGATATTGCTATGTACAATGCAAAATATGCACTAAACTATGGTAAATGAATAAAAAGAAGACTGTATTAGGTATAAATTAAATAAATATACATACAGCATTGTAATGTGCTTGTTTGTTATGCTTTGCTAATCTTATGAAAAAGCATTGAACGGCGATGAGTGATGAATTATAACGCAGTATTGTCAATGGTAGTTCCAATACAATATTGCATGTGAAATTAATGGTAGAGAAGCGGGAGAATTTTTTTTTTATTTTTTCATTTAGAATAAAAAAATACAACTACACCCATGAAATAACAGAAATCAATAGCCTTCCAAACCAAAGTTCCCGAAATCTTAGCGAAATCTTTAGGAGTAGGAGTATGTCATTTCTGCAACGATTTTTTACGAATCTTCAAATAAACTCATATGAAGTGGTTGACACGAAGTCGTAAAGAAATTTCTTTACGAAAAATAAAGAAAATTCTGAAAATATTCTGCAAGAAATTCTTTACATAGCAGCATTATTTTCACTGCTGTATCGATTTTTTCTGAAATTTCGTAAAATAATCGAAGTGTGTACAGTTTATTTTATTTTAGAAAATTCGGCAAAAAATCGGATGAGATCTTTACGAATTCTTTGAAATTTCTCTACAATCAAGAATACTCTGAAAAAATGGTTTGCAGGGAAGCTAATTCTCACTTTTGTGTATTCGTTGTATCTTACGTAAGTTTAACTGAATGAGCATATGCTTTGTTGTTGCTAGTGGTACAATAAATATACTTGCAACAACAATTACACACTCATCCAGTTACACTTACACAAGATACAAAAATATACAAAGGGGCGAATACCCATAATGGTAAACCGCATTTCGTACGTTTTCTTCAGTTGAATTACTGCAACACAATAGTCTGTTGAAAATGCAAAGATTTTACTTATTCAGGCAGGCCTGCAATTAATTTCCGAATGA